CTGACTGGTGGCTGCCTGACAGGCTGGCCCTGGGTGTCTCCTCTTTCTCCCTTGTTCTCTTCTTTCCTCTCCCAAACCTAGATTCCTCTTCCTACTTATTCTCTCTGTCCGCCAGCCCCGCCAACCCTCTACTGCCTAGCTATTGGCTGTTCAGCTTTTTATTGGACCCATCAGGTGCTTTAGGCAGGCAAAGTAAACATGTCTTTACATAAGTAAACAAATGCAGCATAAACAAATGTAACACACCTTTATACAGTTAAAGTAATATTCTGCAACATAAACAAATGTAACACACCTTCACATAGTTAAATATTCTGCAGCATAAACAAATGTTACACACCTTTACATAGTTAAAGTAACATTTCAAAACATGTTAGTACTATAATTTCCTTTATGTGGACATTTTCATATACTGGACACATGTATTCCCTTGTCCTTCTCCATCAATTATTTTAGCTCTAATTAGGGTTCACTGATAAAGTTGAATTCCAGTGCAAAGAATTATTCCTCAGCATAAGCAGAAGTTTTGCAAATTTGTGGTTTCTTAAAGACTCTCAAAAGACAATGCCATAAACACACTGACAATTCTGTGAAACCTCTCAGAGACTTGTTTTGTTGACTGTGAACCACTGAATTCACTATCAACCCACGCCACTTGGGTTTTCCCTAGAGTCTTACCCACACAGCCACAGCTAACTGTGACTCTGAGCCCTGTTCTGAGTTTTCAGTGGCACAGGACACAAAAATAATAAACTACCATCGTATTCATGTCTCTAATCACCTCATTTGACTCGTTTACTTGATAGGTTTAGCCGCTGGGTTAGAAATAACCTACATGTATGAAAACATGATGCTTTAGAAACCCTCCTTCTTTGCATGAGATTTTTTTGTGACGGCTAAGTTTGCCAACTTGGTGAGATTTATAATGGCTTCGGAGACAAACATCTGGGTGTGTCTTCTGGAAAGATTTGACTGAGGTGGGAAGAACCACCCTTCATGGGCTGGGGTCCTGGACTGAATAAAAAGGAGAAAGTGACTAGAACACCGCCATTCATTTCTTTCTGCTTCCTGCAGAACCCAATGCGGCTCCCACCTCAGGGTCCGCTGTTAGGCCTTGCTCACCATGATGGACACCTGCCAATCATGAACCTTACCAGCCCTTCCTTAGGTTCTTTCTTTCATAGATTGTCCCAGCATTGAGGAAAGTCTTAATGGACACAGTCTTAACGTTTAGGAAAACTACTTCCTTTATTTTTACCTCGTTTCTACTTCTGTGTTTTTCTTATGATGTGCGCTGGTTCGTTAAAAAGGACGGAGGGCATTGGCCAAACGACAGTGGTCAACCCAAGTCTGAACGGCCTTAATCCATGGCAGCCTTTCCTCGTTCTGTCTTCAGTTCCCCTCTTCTCTCCTGTGAGGGAGGCTTCTTTCTTCAGATTCGTTCGTGTCAACGCCTGGAACTTTATCACGGCAAAAGGAATGTAACATGAAGAAGGACCGTCCCTTGCACGCTCGATGCAGTTAGCGGTCAGTATTAATCATTATTGCTGTGGCACAGCAAGACCGTAGCTGCTGGTCCCAAGGAATGCCTGCTTTAAAGGCAAGGAAACAGAATAGTCAAATGGAATTTCAAGACAGTCCACTTGCCACGGAGTCCTTTTATGTCCAAGACCTTGTCTTTCAGCAGAGCTGTGCTTTACAGAATAGACCGATCTTCCTGGTCTTCCCCGTGGCAATCGACGAGACAGGAACTGACAAGGTTGCTGCGCATCCTCTCTGGGATCAGTGCGAGGGATTGTGTGCTTAGTGTCAGACCTGTAACCCTACAGTAAGATGGTAGCCTTTCTGGGCCTCAGTTTCTTGTCTGTACCATGGGGATGATAATACCTGCCTCACGCCGTGGTTATGATGAATAACTGAGAATGTATAAAAAATTCTTAGAGCAGTGCTGGCACAAAGTGGGGCTTTCCATGACTCTGCTGTCATGGCAGACCTCAGTGGGGCCTGCCACTTCCGGGACAAGGCCAGCCTCTCTCTCCATTGTTTGCTAAGTCGCTCTAATGGCCTGGTCAATGGACTAAGAGTTCCGGGCCCCTGGTCAATTGACCTCTCGTGATTAAATTGCTTTGGCACCGCCAGTTGCTGCAGCCATCATTTTGCACTGGTATTATTGATTTACAGTTTTCTCCAGACCCTTTTCTGGTTGAGGCTGATACTAGTCTGGAGCACTAGATGGAGCCATTTTCCTGTCAGTGACTTTTGCAGTCACCCTGCTCTAAAGAGAACCCAGAATGCCCAGCCCACGCCAATGTTAGTCATCTGTTTCAGCTCATCGATGGAATCCCTTTACGGTCTCTCTCTCCCTCTTTATAATAGCGAGAATGCAACGCTTCAACGTCACCCCACAAAGTTTACATATTTGATTTAGCTCTAGTATACAAGAGACCAAGGAAAACATAGATTAGATTCAAAAGGAAACCACACATTTGCCTGAAATTGGACAATGAAAGGCATGAGAAAAAAAAAAAGTCAAGTAAACATGATTGCTAGATGCTTAAAGGACAGACAGGCCGCGCCACAGTGTGCCCCAACAACGAACGCTTCCTAGGGAAGCCACGGAGGACAGTACGGAGATGGCCTTGGATGACCACATGGGAGGTGGTCAGGACTCTTAGAACCAAGAGCAAAAGGAAAAGTATAAAAGAAGTTCAATGTTAAAATTATGCAAGGTTTTGGTATGGCTAGTAAGGTTTATTTCCCATCCAAATAGGAGACAGGGGTGCTCTCTTTTATGAGGTATATCTGAAACTTGGCATGGCGTGACCTTGCAGCCCAATAGTGCTGGTTAGGACTAGATCTGACTTACCCAGTTCAACCGTGCTATTAAAAGTCATTGCATTTTTTTTTTTTAAAAAAAAATATATATAACATTAGGGATCTCTAGGAGGCACTGGTATTTTTTGGTTGGCTTCTGAAATACTCGTGCTGGGGTTGAGATAGAGCTCGGTGGTAGAGTGCTTGTCTGAAATACCCTCATAAGGGCCAGGCTAGAAGCAGGAAATGACTGCCGATCACTTTCTTAGCATTTATTCTCGGAGCTTCCCATGAATTAGTCACGATTTGTTTAGATAATGGTTTTGCTTGTGATTACTTACTCCTGTAGTATCTGGGGATGAATAAAGTGAAAAGCGTCTTGCAAATTTTAGGGACTTTTTTTTTTTTTCCGAGGTAGATTAGCTCATGTCCACGATTATGTACCAAGTCCACAGGAAGGTACCAACCTTTATTTTCTCCCCAGAGTCCCCCAGCCTGTCTTGTGGGTGTACCTCGGATCCTTCTCACCATTCCTTCCTGTCCTTTAGAGCCATCAGCAGTCCTGGGTCTTGGCTTTATCCTGGAGGAGCCCCAGGTGGCCTTTCAGGTTCTTTGCTCTGCCGAGCCTGTATGGCTTAGAGGGTTCAGGGAAACCCGGGGGTCGAGTGTTTTCTAGTGCCCCACCTGTTTCACACCAGGTCTCAGGGTTTCACATCTTCCCTTTGAGCCTTTGGGTGCTCAAGCTGCTGGAAGAAGCTGAGAGTTTGTGCCCCACTGGGTGTGGGAGTAGATGCTCTAGTCCCTTGCCCTGAGTTAGAATAACTCAGAGGCAGTGCCGGTTCTCCAGCATTGTCTAGAGCATAGAAAGCCACGCTCTGAGGGACTTTGAGATGGATCTTTCTGCACGCAGCTTTTAAATGATCCCGTGTGATCCCCAGCTCTTCATCATCTCCTTTCCTTGAGTGTGGAATAGACAGAGTGGCTTGTTCTTGACCAATGGATTATGACGAGAGTGCTGGGGATGTCAATACTGTAAACAGGTTACAAAAGCCTGGGACCTCCATAGCGTTTCCAGACTGCCACTTTCCCAGCTTGCACACTTCGGGGGGTGCAGACAAAGTACCCAGCAATGAGCTTCGGCAGGGTGGTGGTGGTGGTGGGGCGGACAAAGTACCCAACAATGAAGCTGACAGTCTTTGGCAGGGTCCCGGGGGTCGGGGTGGGTGGGTGGGTGGTCTTCGGCAGGGTTGGGGGGTGGTGGTGGAGATCAGACAAAGTTCCCAACCATGAAGACGACAATCTTTGGCCAGCAGCCTGGATTTGGAACTCAGTATACCAGCCGCACTGGTTGTGGAAGCAGATCATTCCCTAGGTGGGCTCTCAGATGAGCCTGTAGACCCTGGACCACACCTTCCTTTCCCCACTTGTCCTGTTTCTTCTCTCATTTTTATCAGGTTCTCCTTGGGAGATCGTCGTCGTCGTCGTCGTCGTCGTCATCATCATCATCATCATCATCATCATCATCATCATCATCATTGTTTTTGAGACAGGGTTTCTCTGTATAACTTTGGAGTCTGTCCTGGAACTCACTCTATAAACCAGGTTGGCCTCGAACACACAGAGATCTGCCTGCCTCTGCCTCCCAAGTGCTGGGATTAAAGGAGTGTGTGCTACCACCGCCTGACTGAGACCTTTATTTTAAAATGCCCTCTCCCTCCTGCGTTATCTTTCCTCATACATAGAACCCGAGGTCCCATCAGCACAGGACCTGTCACCTCTGTCACCTCCTGACAGAGAGCAAGCTTTTCTCCTCCAGCATCTGCTTCTCTTATGGCCATCTCTTTGGGATGCCAAAGTCCATTTGTTCCCCAAGGTTCCTGTCACTTCATCATCACCAAGTAGCTCTCCCAGCTTGGTCTAGAGGAGCAGTTTCTCTCATTATTTTCTTCACCTCTGAGACATCAAGCTGTCAGACCGAGATTGTTCTATGCACGTTCATGAATGGAATCGGGCATGGCCTTTATGAGACCCTCATAGCCTGTGATCATTTGCTCCTCAGGAAACACAGCTTTCAGAAATCACCCTGAGGGCGGGGATGAAGGGAAAGGAGGAAGCTTGGATTGTGGCTGAAAAAACAGGACTGTATGGGCATGTGTTTTGCGTTTCTAGACAATGATAGCATTTTAATCACCCGATAGATTATTAAGTTAGAGTCCACCTAATGGACTTTGGGTGGTTCAGATTTGGGACAAACTGGTTTTCTTCATGCCTTCCTAGCTTACTCCTCTGTAAAACAGGAATAAAAATAAGAATACTTAGCTTGTAGAACTTGTGGTAGATTAACAGTGACTGAAAAGTTTTTTTTTAAAAAAAAATTTATTTATTATTTATACAATTTTCCTCCTGCATGTACAGCTCCTTGCCAGAAGAGGCCACCAGATCTCATTAGAGGTGGTTGTGAACCATCATGTGGTTGCTGGGAATTGAACTCAGGACCTCTGGAAGATCAGCCAGTGCTCTTAACCTCTGAGCCATCTCTCCAGTCCCCCACTTCTGACATTGACAGACAAAATTCATGGCTGTTTCTTAGATCTTGGGTACATGAATAGTTCGACCGATAGAGGACGGTAGAAGTGACAATGTGTGCCACCTTCTGAGCCCAGGTCTCAAAAGACAGGCAGCCTCAACTTCTTTTTCCTTGGGAGGCTTTGTAAAGACAGCCAGAGAGCGCCATGCTGGAGTCTGAGCAAACACAGTCTCTGCTGAGCATAGTGCCGTGTTGACGCGCACACAAAGGAAGCCACCTGGGAGTCACCAACCAGCCTACCCACGAGCTAAAGTGCCGATGTCCTTATAGGAACCAATGCCGCAGAGCGCAGAGTTTGATCAAATCTGTGTCTCACAGGAGCACGTGCTATGAGGATCGCGTTAAGTTGTTGGGAAGACAATTGGAAGAGGATGCTGTAGCTGGAAGTGGGCTGCCGGTCTAACGACGTCCGTCAAGCATCACTTGGCTTTGCGACTGGGCCTAGGTTAAAGTGGGAAGATCCCGACGAGCCTGCGAATGACGTTAGGAGGCCACAGATCACGTGACTGGTGAAACGTGGGAGGCTAGGGAAACCGGAAAGACGAGGAAAATCGATGTTGATGTTTCAGTCACATGGAAGACCGACAACAAAGGTTTGTCTCTTCTTTTACTTTTTTTTTTTTTTTTTTTGCTATTTATGATAAGCCATGGATAAAAAGATTAAGTGTAAAAAAATGAGAAATTTGTGGTCTTAAACACATTTTTAAAAGTATTAGCAAGGAGTTTTAAGATAAAAGTGAACCCATAGTCCCTGTCAGAGCTAAACCCCATCTAAGATTTATTTTGCTGTATGTACTGGTGTGTGATGGAAGGTTTAAATGCTGTAATTCACAGAATCCTGACTTAGCACAGAATTTGACCTTACATGTTAGTCACACCCTTTGCGGAATGTTAGCAGAAGTCCAGGTAGGAAAGCCGAACAGAAGCAACACTTAGTTGAATCACTTTTTTTTTTTATAAAATTGTAAGAAAATGCTCATTGAATTTCCCCCATCATTAGAAAGAAAAGGAAATAATGAAAATTGACAATAAAGATACAGAGAGCGAATTCTCAATTTCAATTTGCCTTGCCGAATGACACCTCTTAGATATTTTATGAAAGGTAAATTACATTTGAAATGAAATCTTTTAAATGGGTTATCTTTGGGTTGGTTATTTTGCACACCTTTAAAATGCATTCTCTGGACTGGTGGTGGCTTGGGTGGAAAGATGAATTCTGAGGAAGCTGAGAGGAAAATAATTTCGGGAGCTAATGGGTGAACTCGACCAGGAAGATTAATCAGGGCAGTTGCAAGAGAGTGCCACCTCCATAACTGGAGTAGAACTAAATATCTGATTGTAATTAAAACTTTAGGTTTCTAATGGCTGCATGAAAGATATTTTAATACACGTGAAATGCACTTTCTAAATGGCATGCTAACTTTTAATGACTTGGGTGTTTTGTTTGATTAGTAACCTGGACTGTTAAATTAAAGCCAACTGCAAGTGCATGATAAAGTATTGATGGTTTCAGGCAAATGAATTGGGGAAGTTCTGCTTGACAGGCTTTTTGTATCATTAAGGATTTTAACTGGTGGAAAATATATATTGCTGGTGCTTAAAGATAGTTAAAGGGGATCTTCCTGTTTATATGACCTCGTTTTAATTTTACAGTAATAATAAGGGGGAAGCCTGAATTATTCACAGATGGTTGGTCAAGAGAGGTCACTTAATTAAAAAAAAGTGTTATTTTAATTACACCTGTTCACATTCCTGGAATAGGAAATTAAATATTTGGAGGCATTTGATTACTTGTGTTTCACACAGTAGCTGGACTTCTGCTGAGGCTGTTGTGTGCAGTTTTATCTTCTTGCTAATAGATTGCTTTGCTTAAAAATTTCAGATTTTAAAATAATCATTTCATTGATAGTTTATAAATAATACAAGAAGAAAGAATGTAATTTTATGGGCATATGTATATACATATAAACATATTACACATTTAATATATTATATAAAAATTATATTTATTTATTTTACATGTATGACAGTTTTGGCTGCATGTACATCTGTGTACCATGTGAATGTGAAGTATCTTGGACTCTATAAGATGGTGTCAGACTCCCTGGGACCTGTAGCTCCAGACCATTGTCAGCTACTCTGTGGGTGCTGGGAATTGAACCTTTGTCCTCTAGAAGAGCAGCCAGTGTTCTTAACTGCTAAGTCGTTTTTCCGGGCCATGCTTGTATATTATATTTGTATATGCAAGGCAATTTCTAGCAGGATATGAAGGAAAATACAAGTAGCTTTCTAAGGTAGCTACATCTCTGTTGAGACCTTAGCTGTGTGAAGGAACAGAAAAGGGAAACTTGGAGACCATGGAGGAATTTGGAGGAGGTTAGGGTGATGGTTCCAGGTAGCCGAAGTACTGTGTGTATCTAGACACTTTTTTATACGGAAGGAAACCATTTACACCATCTCAATTAAGAGGGCTTTGTGAAGTATGGGAAGGACCCCACCCTCCCCACAGGTGAGGGAGAGCTGGCCCAGATGGCATGTGTCTAGGAGAGCTGGCTCTGCCTATTGACTGAGGGAAGTGGTCCCAATGGTCCCTACCGACAGCTCAGCTACCACCCAGACCCCCATCTTGGGTCTTGCATTGGCCCACCCTGACATCTACCCCATCTATGACCTGCTGTGCTCTGGGACAATGGTTTCACCCTATGAAGATTTGTTTCTTGTACTTGTTTAAATAAAATGCTGATTGGCCAGTAGCTAGGCAGAAAGTATAGGCAGGTCAATCAGGCAGGAAATAAAGGTGAGGTAATGAGAACAGGAGAATTCTGGGAAGAGAAAGAGGAAACAAGATAGCAAGATGTGACTGCCTTGCTGAAAAAGGTACCAAGCCATGTGGCTGACACAGACAAGAATTATGGGTTAATGTAGGATGTAACTGTTAATAAGAAGCCTGAGTCAATAGGCCAATCAGTTTATAATTAATGTAGACCTCTGTGTGTGTCTTTGGGATGAATGGCTATGGGACCGGGTGGCACAGAAACCTCAGTGAACACTGCTGGAGTTTGTCAAGAGACTGGTACTGCAGAAAGATAAACTGTAGGATCTCCATGACTTGGGTCAACAGCAGGATATCCAAGAGGAGTTTTGGTGAGGATCCAGGGATGATGGTGTGCCAGAGGCCTTGAACCAGACCAATGACTTCTCAATGAACATTTTGTGGGTAGAGCTGATTGGTGTACCGCCCGACACACCTCAGATCCCAAAGCCACTAGGATGAATGAAGAAGTGTTGGAAAAGTGGAGGAAAAAAGGTGATTTTTAAAAAAATTTTTTTTGTTCTTTTGGGGAGAGTAAGGAATAGATACGGAGAGACTGGGAGATGAGTGGGATTGGGGTGCATGATGTGAAATTCCCAAAGGACCAATAAAGTATCATGTTTAAAAAGTATGGGAAGGACACCAATCTCTTGAGAGGGGGCTGGCTCTTTTCTAGGGTGTTGACCTTAAGGTGTTTCAGGATTATAGATGGTTTGGAGTTGGAAGGATACAGAATGATTCTCATGCAAGCATGTGTGGTCATACAATATTCAGACTGATTTGCAAAAAGTTGAATATAATTAATTCATATATTGCCTGTTTTTTGTGTTACTCTGAGTTAATTTCTGTACCTTTCCTGCCCACTTGACTATAAAAATGCAGACAATAGCCGGGCTGTGGTGGCTCACGCCTTTAATCCCAGCACTCAGGGAGGCAGAGGCAGGCGGATCTCTGTGAGTTCAAGGCCAGCCTGGTCTACAGAGCTAGTTCCAGGACAGGCTCCAAAGCCACAGAGAAACCCTGTCTCGAAAAACCAAAAAAAAAAAAAAAAAGATTAAAGCTGTAGGCCTGGCAGTGGTGGTGCATGCCTTTAATCCCAGCACTCGGGAGGCAGAGGCAGGCGGATCTCTGTGAGTTCAAGGCCAGCCTGGTCTACAGAGCTAGTTCCAGGACAGGCTCCAAAGCCACAGAGAAACCCTGTCTCGAAAAACCAAAAAATAAAAAAATAAAAAATAAAAAAAATAAAAAAATAAAAAAAAATAAAAAAATAAAAATGCAGACAAGTATTCTATAGCAGAGCTGTTTGGATTAAGCAATCCTCAGCTGCTATTAATATTATATAATATTAAAGTCATAAAACTTTAAAAATACTTCTAGTTGGACTTATTTTTGACACAGTTCTTTTTTTTTTGTTTTTGTTTTTGTTTTTGTTTTTGAGACAGGATTTCTCTGTGTAGCCCCGGCTGTCCTGGAATTCACTCTGTAGACCAGGCTGGCCTTGGACTCAGATCCACCTGCCCCTGCCTCTTGAGTGCTGGAATTAAAAGTGTGCACCACCACCACCCGACAACACAGCTATATTTTTTTTATGTGACTAAATAGAAGAGTAACAAGAGCTACCATTTATTGAGTACTTGCTGCCAAGTGTATTTAATTTCTTGTGAAACTCTGCGAGGGAGGTTAAAAATTTCAGAGGAAGAATGTCAGGCGTTATAGAACTTTGGTCGTCAATGACAGAGCCGGAAATTAAATCCCATGATCATAGCCAGCATATGATTTGACTGCTAAATTAGAAACCCAAATAAAATAGCTTAAACAAAGTGGGAGCCAGTTCCTCTCTCCTGAGGGGCTGGGGATGAGCAGGTGTGCACATGTATTCATGTAGCTGTGGAGGCTCAGACTCCTGTCTTGTTCTCTGCTGTCTCTAACATGAGGCTCCCATTGTGCTTAAGAAACCACTCCAGCTACTAGCTTCCACCCACATCGCCATCAGCAGGAGGGGAAAAAGGCCAACATTACCATGTACTGTAATCTGAACACGGGAAACATTTATCTGCATAGCTTCTACATGTCGAGCCGTCTTCTTTCTTTTGGTTTTGAAATTCTATGCTTCAGTTAAAGTTGCTTGGCAGCTATACTGTGTTTGCTGACCCTACACACACACACACACACACACACACACACACACACCCATATAAAACCATAAGAAAACCCTATTTCGTGTCATACGAAACATCATCTAGATTTAGATCTATATTTGAGCTCACATGAGTTGTATTTCACACACTGAGCTAATGTCTCTGCCAGCTCCTCTTAAATCATGCTAACTCCGAGTTTCTAAGTATGCCGCTGCTTCTCTCTGGGCTCCCCCTAAGGAATTCGGACTTCCGTATTTATTACTTCTCTATTTTCTCCACTATCACAACTGTCCTCAGCACGGTTCGGACTTGCCCTCTCAAGGGTCTCTCCAGTTTTTATCTTTCCCCCTTTTTTCTGCCGTCCCCTGATTCAGATGCACATCTTTCTTTTTAAATCATCAGCTATTGTTGTGCGAGCAATCATGCAGGACGTATGTGTGTGAGGGATGGGTATCATGTCACGGAGTGTGTCTGGAGTTCGAGGACAACTTTACGGAGCCTGTCCTCTCCTTCAGTCTTTAGTTGGGTCCTGGGGATTTCACTCGGGTCACCAGCTCTTGTGACAAGTGTCTCTACCCATTAAGTGATCTTGCCGCCACTTAGGCTCTTCTTCTCTTTTCTTCTTCCTTTTTTTTTTCTTTTT